AGATGAAATTCTAAATTACTGAAAGGTTTTACTTTCGGTTATTGTAAAAGCATTATGGGGAAGAGCTCTATGTAATGCTTCCTATTTCTCAGCTCAAGCAATGAAGAGAATGGGTTAGGGATGGGCTTACTGGTATCAAGTGGAGGACATGCGTCAGGATAAGGCCGGTCCTCACAGAAACACATGAATCCTGGCGGGCTCTGATTATATCCGCACCGGCCACCCGACTCCATGCACGGTGCGCACCCATCTGCAGTCCATGACACACTGAAACCCGCCTCCACAAAGAGTCGGAAGAATGTCTCAAAGCAAACCTCTCTAAAACTGGAACCTCCACAAAAAACCGACGTCGATAATCAATGGATAAGCCATAAAACATGGCAAAAGAATTTCCGAGGCAAGGCACCCGAATCGCAGTTGGCCAGCTACGAAGTGATGCAGGACAATCCATATAAGCCAGAAGCGTCATGACTCCAATGGAGTTATTGAATGGTTAATTGTCGAGGGTGACATTATGTTTAGGATAGGGGCATTCCATACTGTCAATTATGCTTTGAGCAACTACGGAAATGGTGCTAGTCTGGTAATCGATATGTCTCACTTGGTATAATTGATTGGTCAAGTTTAGGAGGAGGGTGTTGTCGATGCAGGTGAGATTGAGGCCCCTGTTAGTGCAAAATTCTGGCCGCTGGTAATCGACTGTGAAAGGGTAGCTGACACGAATGGCACCACAATCGTAAGCGCCACAGGCCTCATACTAGGAATCCGCAGAGAAAACAGGAACCCAAAAGAGAGGAAGGAAAACAAGTAGAGCAACAGGCGGTCTTGAATGAAACAAGTGGGTGTTTAGAGAGAGAAACCCAAGCATCAAGTGGGTGTATAGGGAGAGAAAGCCAAGCATGGTTGCAAAAGGAGAAAAAAGCAGAGAGAAAGCTCGATGGGTGAAACTTGAAGATCTCTTCCTCATTATTTAATTAATGGGCGTTTACTTTTATAGGCACAATTCGTCACAAATTGGCGAGTGATGAAGCAGGTTTGAATTGATAGAGAGAAAAAAGTAAGTTGTTTATGTAGAATCGGAGCCGAAATAATTTGACCAGGTTGGGTTTCTTCTCCACGGTTTTAATTGTCTTATAAAGTGTGAATATTTTTCTTTCAAACATATAGGCAATAATACCCACCACAATTATTGGGGTGGGAACGGGTCCGGTAGGGTCCTAGCACGGCTGAACCCAGACTGAAATTCATACATGGGACCCAGACCCGGAACTGGACCCGGTCGAGCCTAGAATACCTTGACCCCAGAACTGGACCCAGTCGAGTCCAAAATACCTGGATCCGGACCTGAACCCAGGATTTACTTGGACCTGGTGACCTACACAAAACCTCTTTCGAGAATGCAAAATAACTTGATCCCCTTTCCCATTCAAACTAATCAGGACACGTAAAACCAGCATTTTTTATGTGGTTAACGGTTAACCAAAGAAACATCCTGCCAATCCAAAAACAATTATATGGTCTCTATAAATTTCACAAAAGCAATGAGGTAAGCTACTCACGAATCATGAATGTCACAGGTAATTGATAAAAAATATCAAAAAAAATTAATGCAGATCAAAATCTAGTGGCTAATAATTTTAATTTTATTTTTGTTAATTTTATTTATAAGAATGAATTATTGAAATTAGGATTTTTAGGTTTGGTTTGATAAAGTTCACCGCTGATAAAAATCCAGTATATGATCAATTTCACAAAAACCAAGAGCAATATAAGAGACAAGTAACCAAAGATTACTTGTAAAAACCAAGAGCAATATAAGAAATACGACAAATTTCTTGAAAAAATTATAAAAGAACTATGGAAGAAACCGAACATGGATAAGAATGAAATCAACCATAGAAGAATACCGCTGTCACAAGCTTCCCCATCCTTGCAGTAACAAGCAATCGTCGTTCTATCAGTGGCATTCAACGCACAGCGGCCACCAGAACTAGTGCAATTTGAGCACTCTGAAGGAAATTGCTCCCATTGAAGGGCAATACCCTCCTTTAAAAGCTCCAGAAGGGTCCAGGATCCATTGCCATGTTTCATAGCCTTAAGACTGGATTCTAGCACAGGATACTGAATCCAAGAACAAGCAGATGGAGGAGTTAAATTATTTACTATTTCTTGTTTATCAGTGTAATAAATCTCCTGGTTCTTCTCGCACCCTTTAAGGGCCCAAATGGTTTCTTGGTTATTGAGGAGAGAGTGATTATCACAATTGTAGAAGATGCTGATATTAACATAGGAGGAAGGAAGATGGAAACCCTCGATGTGGTCTGGAAGGGTAATTTTGTGAAGGGAATAATTACATTTCCCATTGTCAAAGAAATCAGATAAGGGAGCAGTGATATTGATAGTGCGCTCAGGGTAGGATATGTTCTTAACATCATACGATTTGTCCAGGAATTTGATAGTGGTTGGGGAGCTTAACCCTCCACAATCAATTTTGAAGAGTCCACATAGCTCTGGACTGAAAGCAGTAGAGAATGGGAATTGTATATTGATGCCCGAGCAATTGACAGGAGCGCATTCTTCATAAGGATTAAAATCGTAACCTCGAGAGAGAATACAACAAAAGAGAAGAGAGAGCAACCAAGCAGGTAGAGTAGCAGCCATGGCTGACACTGAGAGAAGATGAAGGAATCAGTGTGTAAGAGGTGCCCTCAACAGAATTCAACACAAACCAACTGGTAATAACCTCTAGAATCCTAGAGAGATCGTCACCCGCAAGTCACTTCTAGAGAGAGAGCAAGCGAGTTATAGGCTTGGCCAAATTCATGTGCATATCTGTAAACAGGAGAGAGAGAGAACTTAAAATTTTGAACACTTTGGAGTTGTGCTCCTTGGGAGTCAAGGAAGACTCGACTGTTAAGCCATTTACTAAAAAAAAACAAAAAAACAAAAAAAAAAAAAAAAAAACAAGAGGTTGGCTCCTAGCCCCGGAGTCAAAAAAAAGTTTATGTAAGGTTGCAACCTTAAAATGTAGAAATAAAGATGCACCTAAAGAATCCATTGAAAAAAGTAGTTTTAATGTTGAAAACGCTCTAATTGATCATCTCAACATGAGTATGAAAAAAAGAAGAGTTTGAGTCCTAAAAATAGTGTCTCTTGCAACACATTATCCACACCGTCCATTTTCAAGATTTTCATATGTTTATATATCTGATTTTAACCATTTTTGAAGTTTAAAATTTTATAATTAAACATGAAAATAGATTTTTAGATAATTCTAAGAAGTGTTTTTTAAAAAACTACATATTAGGACAAAATTTGAAGTTGCGCCGGATTGGATTGTTTCAGGTTGCAAATGAAAATCTTGAAAATGGACGGTGTAGATAATATGTTGTAAAATGCACTATTTCTAAGACTTAAAATATTTTTATTTTTCATAGTCATACATCTCGATGTCGAGATGATCAATCAAAGGGTTTTTCAACATTAAAACTACCTTTTCCGCAAGATTTTTGAGGGGCATCCGTAGTTCTACATTATAAGGTAGCATCCTTATATAAACTTTTTCCTTATTTATTAAGGACCTGGTTTCTATGCGGCCAAGCCCGAATATGTAGGAATGCAGGCCTCTT